CGGTCACGGAAGTACAGCCGGTTCTCCTGGCTTGGACAGAAAGCGCGAGCGCCAACTGCATATCATCAGAGTATTCTACGGGTAGGTAGTTCTAACAAGAAGCTGACCGCAAGACAGCTGGTAAAGCGAAGTAATGGCTCATTTGCTTGGATCGGTTACTCCTCCCAAACCTTTCACCAACTGAGAAGCTAACTCGAGTCTAACTCGCAACTTGGAGGACCAGGAGGCTGAACGTTGTCTGATATCTACTCGCTGACCTTCAAGGCGTGCTAAAATCTCCTGGCTTGATAAAAGCCATCCGTTCTAGGTCGTTGGGTCATAGAGGTGCAAAAGCCATCATACGACGTCAAGGTACAGTCTTATCCTGATGGTCGGTTAAGTTCTTTGAAACGAAGCACAGCGTTGTGTGTTCTTCGACTTAGTGGTGGTAGCTCGGTGGTTTGGCTTGTAATCAGTATCTTGGACCGACCATTGTGGTTTGAGGTTCAAAACCTAACACGGCCATCGAAATTTGCTAACATATAGCTTCACTGCAGTGCCCTTAACTCAGGGCAACACATCTCTCACTGGTATTCATGGGTTGTCACCTCAGGTGTCATGAATTTTTTTATTGATTTATATAATAAAAGGATAACTGTGAGACTGGAACCCAGTATACCTCCATAGTCNAGTCCTAGTAACTAATAAAGTTAACGTTTGAAGAGCATAGCCCATACGCTTGTCCTTTCTGAGTATTCTTTTCCACTGGACAGGGCCATTTGCATGTGATCTGTCTTTTCTGTGTAATGCCTTTGTGTAATAAAAGGTTTTTTCTACGGAATAACATTCGGATAAGTCCACTTAATTTATCATAGGTGTCAGGAACTTTGAATGGTCTTGGGTGTTTTTCACTTTTTTACAGATCGTTTTATGCACTTATTTACAACAGACATCTCTGTGGTGATCGAAAGGGGTACTAGCTCGCTGTGTTATTTCTGGGACTTATCAGCTGCGTGCACTTTTCTGTCTCTGTCGGGATTCGAACTGTGAAGCTGCAGTCTGGAAGAGGAAGCCCTTACTCAGCCTCGCGGTCGATGGTCAGCACCTTGAGCAAATAACTCAATCGTTTTAGAATCTTTGGATTGCATGACTCCATGATGCAACTAGCAGAACCGGATAATTTGTTTGAAGCCAAAAGATATTATCGTGCTTGGAAGGTCAGAGAGTAGATATCAGACAACGTTCAGCCTCCTGGTCCTTCAGGTTGCGGGTTAGACTCGAGTTAGCTTCTCAGTTGGTGAAAGGTTTGGGAGGAGTAACCGATCCAAGCAAATGAGCCTTTACTTCGCTTTACCAGCTGTCTTGCGGTCAGGTTCTTGTTAGAACTAAAGACTTTGGACGAGAACCCTAATTGTTCTCCGACTTGATTGATGGACTCCCGGACAGTACCTATCCATCAAACTAACGCATACACAAATTATACAGAATTCCATACTGTGTTGTCCTTCACACGCATTCCTCTCCCTTTACCAGTTCTTCCGACCCTTAACATTCCATTAGAAACAATGGTTGTCGCTCGCCAAAGGTCATTGCCAACTTGCACTGAAAGTAATTCGCCTATTTCGAATCCTCAGCGTGATGGCGGTGGTGGCCCGGTGATAACGTCACCAATTATCACCCCGGAGGACGAGTGTTCGAATCCCGGCACCACTGCCTGACTTTCCCCATTTGTGTAATGTATGGCAGTCCTTTGATTGGCCGCATCCCCTTCCGAAAAATTGTATCTTTATATATTCAAAAAAGCAAGTAAAATGAAAAAGAAAAAGAAAAAACAAAGATGGTTCAGGTGAATAATGGGATCAAATCAGACGAGCAATGCATTCCACAGCGAGTGTTACTTGTAAATCCGAGCCTGAAGCGCGTCCGAGGCATGAGTTATCTCACGAGTCACTATCCCTGCTGGAGTAAAAGCGAGAACTGATCACCAACCAGGATCAAATGCGTAGGTGGAATCTGCAACGTCAGCCCATGAAGGGCCTCAAGATTGACCGCGAAAACTGGTGAGCACTTATAGCTAGTGATAGGGAATTGCCCACTGCCTCATGGAACAGACAAAGACCATTCAAACTGACGCGCAACACCGGAGGTCAAAGAAGTAGTAATTAAGCATGGTGCCAACGCCACAACAATATTAACAATAACAATAATAGGGAACAATGGCTAGCCCGGTAGTTGGAGTACATCAGCGAACGGTTTAGGTAATCTGGTGCCAGCCAATTATCTCACCTGTTGCAACTGAAGCTCAGTGGGTGATGTCGTGTAAACCTCGTACGGAAACAGAAGTCAGATCTTGTAGTCTAGCTCTAAAGAGAAGCAGAGCGGTGGGTCCGGACGGGTTTCTCCTATTCTTATCCAGATGGGAGTTGATAACTATGTAAACTCTACTAATTTAATGTACTACATCTGGTTGCAGGAGCGCATTCCATCTTACTGAGGCAAGCCACTGTGCAAACCAGAGTAGGACAAGTTAGATGCAAATCGTCCTGGACCCCCAGATTCAGCGATAGAAGACTCTTCAGGACCAGCATTTGCTCGATGGTGCATCACCTAAATAAATATCCTGTTGTCTTGGGACTAGGCTGATAATTGTCAGCTTCTCGTACCAATTTTCATACTTATTACTTTACCTTGGTAACATTACCCTCGCTCCTGTTGATTTTCTACTCTAGATTGCGGCATCAGATAGGATAACAAAATACATCAAGTAAAATCACAACACGCCTAACAGCTGAACGGAATGAAAACCTACAAAATCATAATACCTGTTCCACTAATTTGCTTAACGCTCGCCGCTAAGACGCTGGAAATGATGCAATGAAACAGTATTAGCCACATGAAATGACCACAAGACGACTGCTTAGGGATAAGTTAATACTTACCACATACAGTGCCTCTAGTGCAGCAAGGACGGTAGCCAGACACAGTGTTTCCGGTTTCGTCCAATTGGAATCTAGTTTTGTTGTCGCCTTCGGCTGCACCAATGCAAGAATGGGTTTGGTAGATCCAATTTTAACTGCCCTGTAAGGGAAGAATTGCAGCGAATTTCGAATGGCCATAGCGTTGGTGCTTTAAAATATTACTTACGAGTAATTAAAACATTGATCAATATTGTACATGAACACCAAGTGCAGAGAAGACGATTGCAGAGCTCGCTGATGTAATTGCAAGAGAAAGATAACTCTTGTATGAATTCAACTTTGATCAGCTGCTGATATCCCATGCACCTCAACTGAACTGATTCTTTGAATGTTACCCGAACTTTCCTTTCTACTACTTCGAGTTACTTTCTCTTGAGCTTCTCATGGTTTGCAATATTTTCTTTCCTACTTCTCGGGTCGCGGGCAAGAGCGGTTTCTTATTCCGCAGACGGCTTCTCACTCTTACCATTCTTTTAATACTTGGCAACTTGGCAGTATTCCGCCCACATGCAAATCACGAAACGCTTTTATTTTTTATAAAGATTATTGTACCCTGGTTTGTTTGGCACAGTCTGGCGTCAGACGTGGTATATATATATATATATATATATATATATTCTCTGACTACTCTAGACTACAGACAATCAGTCACTAACATCAAGTGTCCGTTTCCGAATCCCGCAAGGCTAGTTTATAGTCTGTTTCTCACAGAACAGCCAAACTGTGAAACGCCTACCTTTTGTCCCTTTTACAATCACCGCCTCATAAAAACGAGTGTCAAAGAAATGAACCGACTATGAATGTTAGCAATCTGTATACATGCATAACTCTCCTTGAATTTTCTCTGAAGGTTGAATTTACACCCGTTAGCGTAAATCACTTTATTCGAGTAACAGAAAAATCGACTGGCCCTCCACATTCTGCTAACACTGAACAACAAACAAACAGTGCCCATAAAAGGATAGCCTTCTGGCATTCTCTAAGCGCTCGTCTCGGATAAACAGTAATACCCTTCGAACAGTTACCCATGAGAGATTTTCGTAGCTGTTTCAAGTGACATTGGTTCGGGACTTGTAGACAATATTGCAATACAGATAAATGTTTTTCTATTTTATTTTCTCTCCGTACGATTATAACTCCCTATTGTCTGAGACGTGTGAGCTGCTATTCACTAACGATACGTCAGGGAACATTAGTTGAATATTAGGGCGTTATCATCAACCGCTTTTTTATTACATACAATTGTGGCGAAAAGCAGACCGGGCGAACCCCACATTCACGAAGAACTGCTGCTCAGTCATGGTATCCGATAACCTAAGTCCCGGGACTTGGAGTGGCGAACCACATAAGGTCACACCAGGTTAGGCGGACGACAGTAAAGCTGTCTACCACCAAAGATGGGTGGTGTCGGGGCTCGAACCTCGGACCATAGGGTCCAAAGTACGCTGGCAACGGCGATTAAACCACTGCACTACCACATAAATAATGACTTTCCAGCAGTCGTTTTCTCATTGTTCTGAACTTTCTCTTATTCACGCCTCTATAATAAATAAAATAACTCGTACATTTTTGTATTCATCAACCCTGCTTCCATTCCTCCGCGGTGACCTTTACTAATTTACTGTAAAAGGGTATTTGTATGACGCGCAGCTCACTCGGGCATTAACGTGTTATGATTTACCCGGGACTTACACCATCCAACACATTTTAAGCCAGCAGATCAAAGCTTGAGGAAAGCTCTTATAAAAGACCACTGAACTTCTCTCAAATTCCCTATACATCGAAACATCATGAAATACGCAACGGCTGACCTCAGAATGACTTATGAACTCGCTCCATCCAACCCTCACCAAACTACATAAAGATTGACAGTCGAAGATATCTAGACGACGAATATATTCCACGCGTAAATTTAGCGTCGCGACCATAAAGCAGAACTGACCACACACTGGCGCAGTATATGCGACATTTCAGATTCAAGGAAACAAAACGTCTGCACCAAATGCGTTCCGGGATTTTGTATGCTGCTTGTGCCTTGGAAATACGAGGTTACTTTTTCGACTGTGCTATCGTCATTTGTCATACAACTACTTGAGTAGGAGAGATGTTTCGTGAATCGCTTCGTTCTCTTCACATACGAACGTACGTTTGCAACCTATACGTATTAGCTCGGGGTATCGATAAGCTAGCGCCTACACTTTCATGTCATTCCACGGCACTAGCCCTTCACTGAAACTACACAGGTCCTATCGATGAGAAACACTATACGTTAGTCGAAAATCAAAGGCTGTCCGGTAAATGAGAGCTTGATGATGTAAGAAACGCAAGTCTGATCGACACCAGCCACAAGCCCTGAAGACTGACCTGACACAACAATCAAAATAGTTTGACTGGCTATAGAACTAGAGTGCCCCGAGGTAGATCTCAGGTCAGTGACCGTGTGAGCATCTAGTGTGGATGGTATTTCATCAATAGATTACAAATAGATGCTGAACTCACTGGGAAATGCCCTCTTTTGAAGCTTCAGTGAAACGTCGAACATCATCGTAATCCCGATCGAGAGGTCCAGTTAAAGAAACCACCTGTAAAGAATAATAAGATTCAGTTCAGATTGAATGAGCTGTCGAACTGTGATCCTACCAATCTTTTCGACGGTAGCTTATCACAATGCAATACGTGAACTCCGGTGTCGAACTTCTTTATTATCTAAAAGAATCCTAGAGTGCTGGAAGAAGTTCTCACTTCACCGTGTGCTCGCAAACATGGTTCAAGTGCATGCAGTTCATTGGATAAATTAACTAGATCATGAGCAACCAAAACAACTGAATCATGCTCCGGAGAATCAATGGTAGAGCACTTTTTGACGGGAACAGTAGGCAAGTGTTCCATTTCGAAAGCCGAAAAACTAGTTGATGACGTCCGGAACTGAGCCACTCTCCGACCCAAATGACTAGCCGTCACCAACCGATAACTAGTTATAGCCTACAGCCGAAGCGGTGGTGAGCGAAGTATGACCTTTAACTCACTAAAAACCTTAAGCGATAGATCATGGGGGAAACCAGTCTGTTGTATTTGCCGGTATAAATGATTAGGAGAATACTCGAAATCTGATCGGTATATGAAACCGATTGCTATTATCTGAGCAACCATGAAGATACAGTCGAGTTGTTTATCTG